GTGAATGAGTGTCTGGGAAGCTCTCCAAAATAGGAAACGTACCCCCCTCCAAATCACCCCCAGCTGTTTACCTCAGATAGCTGGCCATAAATTTGAGGCCAGCACACACCATAACATTAACACACACACCACACACAGCGCATGAACAACAGCTGCACTCACTTTCTCCTCCCCATCCCAGATTTGATAGATGATTTTGGATGACACTGAGGTGGAGGTTTTAATAGGCTTCATAGCTGCTCTATAAAATGGGCAAGCCAGATGGCCATGTGCTGGCTCAAATTGTCCTGAACCTTGAAGGGTGACGGGTTCAACAGTCCTTTACCGCTGCTGAAGTGTCGCTTGAGCAGACCCTTATTCCTCTAGCTGTTTGGAGTACCATAGGCGTGAATTAGTAAAGTTCAATTCAGGAATTCAGTTTGGAGTACTGGGGCTTCGAATATTTCTATTCTAGCCTTAGTTTAGGACATTTCAGAAGGTAAATACTTGTGGCTGTTTGACACCTATTATTTTTAATTTTATTAGTTAATTTTCAGATTTTAATGCATAAAACTGTGGAATTTCTTAAAATATTTCATTAAGTTTTTAATATAAACTGAACTCTTCCCATAGAAGTTTTGTATCAAGCACCCAGATCCATAGAGACCAACTTTAAGAATTAAAATATGTCTTTAATCCAATATATAGTCATTTGACTTAATTTTGTTACATAATACTTAATCTTGCCCTCCATGGTCATGTGAGCCCTCAAACCCCTGACAGGTTTGTGGCATAAGGAAGGAGATGGAAGCCATATTTGAAAATATAAATAAAAAAACCTATAGAGCTGAAGGAACAGTCAAAATATCAAAATCAGATGATTGATTAATTGTAAATATAAACTGTACAACTGTTACTCATTTAAATTAACAAAATCCTTTTATAGGCTTATGTATGAAACAGATCTTGTCCTGGAATAAAGATCCTTTTATTTTACAACACACCCACTATTTTACTGTAGCTTAAGGAAAGGAAAGTCGAACATCGACTGTTCCCTTGACAGAGGTTCCATTTGTCTATAGCAAGCAGCAGGAGTGGCGGCGGCTCCTCTGTCACCCACACACACACACACACACACACACACACTCACAGAGTGACAGTGAGAAGAAAAAAAAACTGTCCTCGGCTCTAATATACTACCATGCCTCATCACTTCCCTTAACACTTACACACACACACACACACACACTGTGTTGACACACACTTGAGCAGAAGCACACGAATAAACAAAGAGAAACACACATAAAAAAAACAATAACAGGCCACCAGAGTCCACTGTGGCTGTACACACACACACACATTACAAAAGACTGTGATGTTCCCAAAAACAATATTTACCCATCAAGCCCTTCACTGAGCCTCAGCCTCATAATAACTGTCATACAATACAGAAACATGTAAAAACACAATATAATACTGTAGTAACATTTCCAGGCTGATATCAAAAGTGAAATTTAGAAGCATCACAAATATTTCAGCCTCACAAAGCGAGACTGTCAATGTCTCTCCAGAGTAACTTCCACTTTGAGATTTAAAGTCATACTTTACCCAAATGTTGTTAAAAGTCACAAACAAACATTTATATACAGTATTGTGCTGCTGAGTCATGGCATATGTAGAATGTTGAAACTTTAAAAGTACACTTTCAGTCCACTAGACCAACAGTTCCCAACCTGGGGCTGCACATGATTTATTGAACCAAAAAACATATATTTCTAATATGCAAATGTCTCACCATGTTGTTAATCTTGGTGATAAATGCCCTTTTCCTGTGAAATAATAAATGCTTGCAGCCTCTAGGCTTCCTGATTTTATTATTTGGATAGAAAAGCTGCAGTATTTGGTTTCAGTTCAATGTTTTGTGCAGCCTCTCAGTTAAATAGCCAGTCATACAGTTGGTCCACCTGTCATTAAATTAATCATCAACCCACTCTGATCACACAACAGGAAACAAAACACGACTTCAACCTCATATATTTCTATTGTGTTCCTGTTCCTGTTGCCATGCACAAAACCGCAGTAAATTTTAATCAATCATCAGTCTAATTTGGTGATTCTTAAGATGCAGTACAGAAGTGGAAACACAAAGAGTGTAATTACTGCACCATTCTCACACCCTATTGCAGACAGCATTATTTCCCCCTCATCATCAATGCTTGTTGGTGCTTGAGTATACTTCAGTGTGAACAGTATGCTGGTAATGATTGAGTATCTATTACGCAGAGCATGCAATTTCAAACACAGAATGGGTGACTGACTAAGGTACACCATCGGTCAGCCGATTGCCACCACCTGTCTTTATTTTTTTAAATTAAAAGCCTTAATTTCAAATTTAAAATCTCTCTAGCGCTACATACACGGTCCAGCCATATACTATGTTTAAATCTAGTCATATGTCTTATGAATCATGGCTGTGTGACTGTGTGATTGACGGCAGAAAGCCAGAAACTTGGACTCTATGGTGCTAAGGGTGGTGACATTACTGCATTACACAGAACTCAGAGCTTCCGGACTATTTGCGTGCTGGAGATGAGATGATGGCAGACCGTAGTTTCACAGTTAGGGACTTCCTGGAGGAGGGAGGAGGTACGCCAGCTGACCAATGAGGAGGTCACTGACACAAGGCGCCTTGTTCACACCCGCAATAATGTCGAATAAACCCTGGTCCTGCAATACACAAGCACCCTGTGATCTGTATTTCACCTATTGTTGAAACTAAAATCCAAACCCAGCGATGAGGATTTTGACTTGGCTCTAACTTTGCATTGACATAAGCTCAAGCACTTAATAATAATTATAATAACAATTATGTGAGAGAGTTCCACCCTATTAGATGTATAGATAGACATTGCAGAGTGTTAATATTATCACACAAGATTGGGCATATGATACCGTCTCATATCGATCCTTTTCGACCTTATAAAAAGCAGAGGTATGATGACATTAACCCGTTTAGGTTAAGAAAAGTTCTGTTCCCATATAATTTATTTTTAAAAATCTGACTGAGAGAAAAATAGTTCAGCGAAAGGAACCAGAAGTCACACCCATAAGGAGTTATGGGGGCTAGGAATATAGTAGATACAGCTCATTATAATAGTCTCGCACGGGCTTTTACTGACACCAACGCTCTCCCTCAACAATCGCTTGTGCTTCCAATTACATTTCTTTTCTAAAACTTTTTTTTTCAGCATTTTGACTTTTTTGGTTAGGTGTGACATGCAACAATTATCCCAGGATACAGGACGCCCTGGGTACAAAACTACAAAACTAATTATACACTATTCCATCATATTTAACAACATGCATGACATACAACAGTTATTGGGCTTATTGGGATCAGAAATGTAGCAAACATGATGCCCCAAGCATGATGGAGCACACAGTAGACTAAAACAAGGTGATTAAAAATAGCCATAGCCTTTCCTTCAATTAGGGCTATGGCACTCAGTCCACCAGTCAGTGAATCAGTTCATTAGTCAGTTAGTCTGTAGATTAACTGTCACAGACGGAAGAAATGGTTGTTCTGTTGTTAAGGAGCATGCTTGTTAGGCATAAAACACACACACACACACACACACACACATTCACAAAGAGCAGCTGCAGTCTCTGTGGACCTATTAGTGCATCCTGTGTCATCTATCTGAGCTTAACTTCTCTATTGTTTGTGACACACTAGACACACACACTTACAGATGCTGAGATACAACTATGCAACCACCCCCTTGACACACACACACACCAGCACACCCACCGTCACGAGCCTCAGAGAGCTATATTGTTGTTTAGGCAGCAGCCGCGTTACAGATGGCATACCAGGCTAATTAACAACACACTCCTTTCTCTCGACCCCTCCACACGCGCACACACACACTCATGCCAACGCACACTAAAATGAGAAGGTGTCTGTGAAAGAGAGAGGGGGAGCTGGAGAGTGTGAAAGAAACACAAAAGAGAAAGACTGACACTGCTTGCATAGTGATGTGTGTATGTGTGTTTCTCTGT